CATTGTTCTATGTGTTTGTCTATGCCATTATCACAATGACTTGGTTGCTTTGTAGCTTTGTAGTAAGTTTTGAAATCAGAAGTGTGAGACCTCTGACTTTACTCTTTTACAAAAATATTTGGCCATAGAAGATTCCTTGCGATTCCACATGAATTTAAGGATGGCTTTTTCTATTTCTGAAAAAAGGAATGCTATTGAGATTTTTGAAAGGGACTGTATTACTAAAAGTGCCAAATTGTTTCCCAAAGTGGTTGTACCATATTTCTACCAATTTTTCATACCAGTGTATGAAAATTCAGTTATTCCATATCCTCACTAACCGTTGGTATGGCCAATTTTCATTTTATCCATTCTAGTAGATGTAGAGTAGTATCTTGTGACTTTAATTTGCATTTCCCTAAGGAATTATGATTTGAGCATCTTCTCATGTGTTTATTTGCCATCTTTATGTCTTCTCTGGTGAAGTACCTGTTCAAATTCTTGGCCCATTTAAAATTTATTTTTGTTACTGAATTCTAAGAACTCTTTATATATCCTGAATCCATGTTTTTGAACAGATGATTATTAGTCTGTGTTTTGTCTTTTTATTCTCTTAACATTGTCTTTTGAAGAGCTAAAGCTTTTAATTTTGATGAAGTCCAATTTATCAATAAAATAACTCCCCTTCTCTATGGTTTCATTTTGAGGTTTTAATTACCCATGATCAACTGTGATCTGAAATATTAAATGAAAAATTCCAGAAATAATTCATAAGTTTGAATGTACAGTGATTCTGAGTAGGGTGACGAAATCCTGCACCATCCCACTAGGGGCATGCATCATTCCTTTGTCCAGTGTATCCGCACTGTATACACCATCCATGTGTCAGTCACTTAGTAGCCATCTGTTAGATTGACAGTCATAGTATCTCAGTATGTGTGTTCAAGTCATCCTTACAGTACATTCCTTATACTGCCACAGTGTCTTCCTCATTCAGCTCACTTGATTTTCTCATATAGGCATTGTATCATTTCATATCATCACAAGGGTGAGTACAGTACAGTAAGATACTTTGAGAGAGACCACATTCAAGTAACTTTTACTATAGTATATTGTTATAACTGTTCTATTATTGGTTATAATTGTTAATCTCTTACTGTGCCTAATTTATAAATTAAACTTCATCAACAATCACTGGGTGTCTTGGAATGTATTCCCCTTGAATAGGACTACTGTATGTTCATTGTGGATTGTGCTTTTCATGTAATATTTAAGAAATTATTGCCAAATTCCAGGTCCCAAAGACTTTATCCTATGTTTTCCTCTACAAACTTTGTAGTTTTAGGTTTAATTCTTACTTTTTATTCTCTCCTGTGTTCAATTTCTTTCTTGAAGAAATATTTGGGTAGCTCCTCCAAGTAGAACCTGGGAGAGATAAACTCATCTAGAAAGGTCACTATAATGCCTTCTCTCATAGTGTACCAAGCTAGCTAAACTCACAGTTTAGCCAAGTGACTCACAGGCATCTCTCAGCACTTTCTTTATATTTTATTGTCTTATACAGCTGCCTTGAAGAAATTTGTGATAATCTAACTGAAATTCTTTTCTAGATTTTTTTCTCCCTAAGTGCTCTGAAGCAATATTCTTTCATTTTGTTACATCTGTAAGTATGGATTCAAATTTACTTATCCAACTTGGGACTTGTGTTCCCCAAATCTTTACATTCATGTCTTTCATAAATGTGAGCCATCGTTTCTTTAAATTTTTCTCCATTCCTTTACTTCTCATTTTCTAGAACTGTTCTTGAGGCTTATAATGAAATTGCTCACTCTTTCCTTCACACCACTTAACCACTCTTTGAACTTTTTATAACTTTCTTTGCTTTACAGAGTTCATTAATTCTCTCTCTCTTCAGTTGGGTTTTATCTTTTTACCGCAATTAAAAATTGAGGTAATTAATTTAAAAATTTTATCTTTTTACCAGAATTAAAATTTAAAAAAAAATTTTAGGTCGTTGCCTGCAGCCCTTTTTTCATTGCTTTTAGAGAGAGAGGAAGTGAGGGGAGAGAAGTAAGTATCAGTGTGAGAGAGAAACATGGACTGGTTGCCTCCTGCACGTGCCCCAGCAGGGGATCAAACCCACAACCTGGGTATGTGCTCTGGCCAGGGACTGAACCTGCAACCTTTTGGTGTACAGGACAATATTCCAACCTACTCAGCAACCTGGCCAGGGTTCCACTGAATTTTTGAAAATAAATATTATAATTTTCATAAAGCACTTAACACAGCTCTGTAGTATGCTGTACCTTTTTTGTTTTTTTTAAAGATTGCAGGCTGGTGCTCAGTCCACTGAGCCACACCAGCCAGGGCTGTAACTATCTTGACATATTGAAATTTTATTTAAAGTGTTACATTGCTACTTCCTCAAATCAGAACTAGTCCCTTCATTTTTTTCCCCTAGTGACAACTGTTTCTTTTGAACTTTCTAGTTTTCCTTTATTCTATGTTGTTTGAATTTTTCTAACTCTATTATGAAAACTTCAAACATAGAGAAATTAGAATAATAGAATTAACATTCAATTTCTCTGATTTAAAATTGTCTTTTTAATATATTTCTTCTCTCTCTATATTTTGTTTTCCATTATACCATCTGACAGCAAGTTCCAAATTGATTGAGATTAGAAGTCAAAGTCAGAATAATGGTTATTCTTGAGGGTGCGTACTGAATTGGGGTTGGGGGAAAATCCTTTCAAGCACTAGAAATGTTCTATATCTTGATCTGCATAGCAGTTACATTGGTAAAAAGTCACTGAGTTATACATTTGGGATTTGTACGCTTTAAATTATATTTCAAAAAGAGGGTAGGGGGAGTTGCAGGCATGATGATAACGCACCCCTAAATACTTACGCATGTGTTTTCTAAGAATAAAGATATTTTCCTACTTAATAACTATTATCACACCTTAAAAATTATTAATTCTACAATAGCACCTAATATTTAATCAACATAAAAAATTTCCCAAGTCTCAAGAATACTTTTTATAGCTCTTCCCATCCTAGTTCCAAACCAGGATCACACACTTTATTTAGTTGTTATACTTCTTAAGTCTTATTTAATGTAGAATAATCCTCAACCTCTTAATCTCCATGACATTGAGGTGGTTTGTCTTAGAAGATGTCCATGTTCTGATTTTGCTTGTTTCCTCATGGTGCTTATTAACTCCCTGAGTTTCTTGTAAATGGAAAGGTGCAGAAACTTGACATTCAACTTGCCATCGTTTTTAGCAAGAATACTTCATGTATGATAACTGTTATCCACTGACTTTTTTCTTTTGTTCTTTCTTTTAAAAAAAATTTAAATTTGTACTGAATTTATTGAGGCGATATTAGTTAATAAAATTATACAGGTTTCAGTTGTACAATTCTGTAACACATCTTCTGTATACCGCACTGTGTGTTCACCACCCCAAGTCAAGTCTCCATCCATCACCATTTATCCTCTCTTTACCCTCTTCTACCTCCCCTTCCCCCCTTTCCCTCTGGTAATCACCATGCTAGTGACTGTGTCTATGACATACGTGCATACATACATTCACTTATTTATTTATTTCGCTTAATCTCTTTACCTTTTCCATCAAGCTCCCTAACCCCGCTCCCCTCTGACAGCTGTCAGTCTGTTCTCTGTTATCTATGAGTCTGTCTGTATTTTGTTTGTTAGTTTATTTTGTTCATTAGATTCCACACCAGGAAATAATATGATACTTGTCTTTCTCTGACTGGCTTATTTCACTTAGAATAATATTCTCTAGGTTCATCCATGCTGTCACAAAAGGTGAGATTTTCTTTTTTATTAAATTTGAAGACCACTTGGAAGTTCTATTTTGTTCCTTCTTAAGAGCCTAATCCAGCTGTTTCTAAATCTTCTAACTCACTAATGGGAGACAGTTTCCTTGTGTATTTTATAAACTGGGATTTTGAGCTTGTCAGTGGGGCAGTCTCTCTGTGAATTCCATGACACCTAAATGGGCCAGGGAGGGTTTTGCATTTGGTTTTGCCCTGTGCCTGAGTGCTGTTACTGTTCAAGGACCAGTTGTTATGTTAACTTCTTGGGTTGAGAGAACCCCACACTATGGTGAAACCAGATCTATCGTTAAAGAGTTCACAGGGTAATCTTTAACCTCTATCTGGAGCCCTGGCAAAGACAGACATGTTTCATTGTTACTTATGTGTTGGTGAGTAAATTTTCTTCCAGACCCTTTCGCTGAGGGTAAAGCTCCTCAAAGCTTGGGATTTATATTAATATCTGAGTCCCAACTATGTCTGTGACACTGGCTGAAGCTCCCAAATATTGACCTTCACATCCATCCCTTTTTTGCACAGGGTGAAAAACTGACCCCATAGGAGGTCACTATAGCACAGGTGCTGTCTGAGAAAAACTACTTTGACTTTAGTTGTATTTGAAAGTGAAATGGTTTTTGTTAATATCAAAAGCAACCATATACATTATAAAAAGTAGTGATATATTTAGGTGCATTATTTACTAAGTCTACTGACAATACTTGCTACACTTGAGGATTACAGACCATCCAAAATAATTCTGCAGATTTCCTTGCTCTAAATGTTACTTAGAGTACTCTGTTCCAGTGGTGACACTAATGATCAACAATCAAAAGCTATGTAAACAAGAGGAAATAGAAATCCAAATAGAGATTTCTCATGGGTGCAAAGTGAATCTTACCTGCTAGATGTTAGACAACAAGCAAGTACCAGTCTTAAAATTCTGATTGATTCTGAACTAGTATTTAGACTTGAGTGTCAAATCTGACACTAAAAACAATACAATTTGTTACAGTTAAGGAACACAGACTTTGGCACCAAATAATTGTCTTTTCCTCCGTTTAAAACGCACGCTTCAATATGCATAACCACTGAGTATGAAGTGATAATATATTTCATTTTCATAACTGGTCTTTCTGAAAAATACAAAGAAAAGGCAATGATGATATTAAAAGTTGACTCACCACTGTCCTCTGTTTGTTGGGCAGGAAGACTCTAACAATAGGTTTTTGTGGTGACTTAGGGTTGCTCCGTGACACATCTGTGGGATTTTGAAAAACTGAAAGAGATGAAGGTAGCACTGAAAGGCTAGAGGAGGAAGAAGATGTAACGGTGTCCGTTGATGCAGAGCTAGAAACAGAAAAATCAGTTCCATTCCCCAGGGATTCCAATAACTGTTGTTCTCTTTGTTGGAGGGCATCTAGCTTGCTGGTGTATTCTTCATAGGCCTATAAAATAAAGTAGACTTACACTGAATCTGGACTTTTTTCCTGACAGTAACAAAAGGAAATATAACATTTAAGTCCTTATTTATAATTTCTTTTTAATTTAGCTAACAGGGTTTTATGTTACAAAATAAGCACTGAAAGTACTGTAAATGAATACTTCTACCTTTAAATTGATAAATCTTTTGTTATAAGATACTACATTATATTCAGAAACTGATACACATATATAGAAGAGATGTCTAGAATATAGGAGTATTAATAAATGAAGATAGTATAAAATGCTATATTATATTACATCAAGGACAAGTACCTTCTTCATTAAAATTTTTTCCCCAAAAGATGTTGTGGGCACATAGAATTTTATACCGTTCTTTCCCTGCTCAAAGAACAGACAAGCAAGTTGTAAAGGAGATGAAGTATCGGATTTGTCAAAAAACAAGACTCAGGTACATAATGCCAGAGCTCACCATTACCACTAAAACCTCTTCAATAGGGCTTAGAAGATGTGTAACTGCCACCTTCTTTCTGAAATAGCTATCAGTTAAAATACTTTATTCCTCTCACTATGGATCTCTGATGACCTCCTTCCTCATTGAATACTGCTTAGAGAATAAAATTTTATTTGAAAAGGTGGCTTACACAATGCAGTCAAGAAATTCTGCGACACTGTCCTTCTATGACTAAGGCTATAAGGTAAAATGACCACATATATAATATTCTAAGAGTAAGAAGAATCTTGAAAACAGAATGATATTGTAAGGAAGGAGATGGAATGAACTGAAACATGCAAGCCCATGGTTCTTTAAGACAGTGGTAATCACCCTCCCCCACACCACGGTCCACCGTTTCTCCCTACCATCCCAAATAGATACAGTATACAAACATTTATGAAAGGCAACAGGAGAATAAAAGATTTAGAAATGGCAGTGTTCATCTCTCAAGGAGTTCATTATTGGGCTTCAGAGAAGCAGATTAATGTAATTTTATTTGTGTAAATGCTGTACATGACAAATAAACAAAGAACATTCTTTATAGAAGAATGAGGAAGGAGGGAGATCTTAAAACATTATCATTTAGATGGATGGAGTAAGTGGGGAGAACAGGGTACTGTGTCCAGGATAAATTGTATAATAAAATAAGGAGGTGGAAAATTTTAAGACGTAGGGAAAAACTACAGAATAGTATAGCTGAATGTCATACAATACCTGGGACACAGTAAGGAATCAAGACATATTTGTGGAACTTAAGACTAGAAACACAGGGACAAATAATAAGAACTGAAAAGTGGGTAACGGACAACACTGTAGAGAACATACATATATACCACGCTATGAACTCAGAACTTCATTGTGCAAGCAAGGAAGACTTATCAGAGATAAAAAAGAATGAAGGAAATATTTCATTTTGGAAAAAGCCACTGCACCTGGTATGCTAGATCTTACCATATAATTTGGGAGGTGGGCGGGGGGGTGGGGAAGAGAAGAAAATACTAAAATGAGTTACTGAGGAAAAGAGCCTCCTTTACAACCTACAAGGTGCCCTACCCTGACTCTGAAATGTTTCATAGCATTCCAGGGCATAAGAATCAAAATTTTCTGCACTGTAGTCTATATAACTTTCAGTTCCAAGCGCTAATTATTTAAGGGCAGCTCTTATTGATATGATCCACTTATTGAGCCTTCAATAGAGAAAGAAAGAGGGAGGGAGGGAGGGAGGGAGGGAGGGAGGAAAGAAAGAAAAAAGAAAAGAAAAGAGAGAGAGAGAAACAAAGGGAGGGAGGAGAAGGAAGGCAAGGAAGGAAGGAAGAAAAGGGGAGGGAGGGAGGAAGTCAGGCGAGCACACAAGGGCGGGGTGGGGGGAGGCGGAGAGAACACATGTGTGCTCACATGTGTCTGGCATTGTTTGGGGCTCAGTCTACAAAAATAAAGACCAATGAAATTCCTACCCTTTGAAGACTGTACACATGCAGTCTGGTACAAAAGAGTTCCTCCTCGCATAGATCAAATATTATTTATTGAGCAGTACATTCACTACACAAAGTTGGCCTTAGGAAAAGTAATAAATGTAAACAATAAAATTTCTGAATGTTATTTATCAAAATGTTATCCTTAATTTTTAAAAAATACATTGTTCCTTCTATTGTGGCTTACAATTATTTCACTGCATTTATCAGTACCTCTTCCTTTTCTTAAGCATAAAACATTTAACATTTTATGTTAAAACCTTTCTCCACAACCAGCTGCAATCTACCAAAGCACCTGCCTCTCTTGTTTTGTACCTGGCTTGCCTTATTTCACCCTATTATCCTGGCTGTGTTCAGTTGATTACTCTTTTAACATTCTTACCTTAAAGTTCTTTATATCTCGTATCTCTAAAGGCATTTATTTCCACACTACCTTCGAGATCCAGAGCTATACTGTACAGTTCTTTACAAAAGAGTTCCAAATGATAGTGAGAACTCAATTTGGAACCTCCAACACTACTAAGCACACACACATTTATCCTACCTTCCTAAGTTTCCATCTCACTACCACATTAAGGTGCTCATGGTCAACATTAATCCCTTAAAATTTCTCAGATTTGGGTCTTTGTTGTCTCATTTTCCCTAATAGTGGCTATTTCAACAATGCCACTGGTAACATCTTAAGATTCTTTGGCTAATTCTCATTCTTTGACCAACTTGCTTGTTAAATACCAATCTTGGGTAAATCCTACCACTAAATTATTCCATTCTTTTTCTCAAGTTATAGGACATACTGCTGGAGAAAATGATAAAGCTAGGCCAATTAGATCTCTTATCAATTTAAGGAACTTAGTCCTTCACACAACTGCCTGAAAAATGTTACTTCTCTTTAATATCATAGTAAATTCTTCACAATACTTATTCCAACCTTTTCCATGTTTTTCCTGGCTCCTATCTTCATCCCCATTCGCTCAGAAAATAGCAATACCTTCTAATTTACTTGGAAGATCAAAGCCATCAAATACAAGCTTCCTCCTCTACTCTGTCTAAGCCATTCTCTGCATCTTTCCCCATCCCTTTTCTGCTCTCAATTTAGTAACAGCATTGGCTGTTTACTTGGTACATGTTATCCCCCATTTACTCTCATTTCATCTGCTTTCTTACCCTACAAATCTAAGCAAGTACTTCCACATCAAGGCACACCTTAACCACTGCCACCAATAAAATTTCCTTGGTTCTCCAAGTTGTTGCAGATACCAGACACCTCTTCAAGAGACAGCTTTTCTAAAACCCCATTCCTTATCAAAATCCTACTTATTTTTCAAAGTCTAATTCAAACCTCTCCTTGGTAAAAATCTGAAAGAGCTATTCTTTCTCTATACCTAAGTTTTACCACAGTTTTCTTCATGTGACTAGTTTTTCCTCATTTGTGTAGTAATTTTGAGAATTAAATGAGATATTATAAGTAAAAAATTATTACAGAGCCTACCACATAGCAAAAACCCAGTAAGTATTTTTATTAGTAGTAGTAAGTAGTACTAGTAATTCTTGCTATGGTTATTACTGTTACCACCGTATTACTTAACTGAATTCTTGACTCCTCGAATGGATCTACAGATTCAATGCAATCCTTATCAAAATCTCAGATGGCTTTTTTAAAGAAATGGACAAACTCATCTTAAAATTCATATGGAAGTGCAAAGGACTCAGAATAAGCAACACAATCTTGAAAAAGGACAAAGTTGGAGGATTCACATTTCCTGATTTCAAAAGTTACTATAAAGGTACAGTAATCAGCACATGCGGTACTGGAATAAGGACACACATATAGAACAAAATATCAGAATTAAGGGTCCAGAAATAAAACCTAACATTTATGGTCAATTGATTTTTTAATTACTTTTGCTTCTTTAGTACAGCCATAAAACAAGAACAGATCATTATGTCTTCCCCTATCTCTGATGTTAATTATAGTTTTCTTCTGCTCTCTGCATTGAGTACCTGTTGACCATTTCTGCTGTTATCTTTCCTGTTAAGAGCTTTCTTCAAATACCTGGTTATTCTTAGATGCCAACTCATATTTAAGAGTTAAGGACTCTTAAGATGTCAATACTACCCAAAGCAATCTATAGATTTGATGCAATCCCTATCAAAAATCCAAGTGTGTCTGCAAAAACAAAAAAAATCCATCCTAAAATTCCTATGGAATCTCAAGGGATTCCAAATAGCCAAAACAATCTTGAAAAAGAAAAAAGTTGGGGGCCTTAAACTTCCTGACTTCAAAACTTAGTTTTCACTACAGTAATCAAATCAATGTAGTACTGGCATAAAGTTAGACATATAGACCAATGGAACAGAGAGTCCAGAGATAAATTCTCACATAATATCATCAAATGACTTTTGACAAGGGCATTTATCAGTATTTCCATTCAATGAGAAAGGATTTTTCAACAAATGGTAGTGAAAAAACTGGATATGGAATGGAATTATTATTCAACATTAAATAAAAAGAAAATTTTGCACGTGATACAATATGGATGCACGCTGAAGACATTATGGTAAGTCAAATAATCCAATCATGAAACAACAAATATTTTATAATTCCATGTTATATGAGGTTCCTAGTATAGTCAAATTCATAGAGACAAAAAGGACAATAGTGCGTCTCAGTGGCTAATCGGTAGACCTGGCGTTTCACTAAAGGGACTTCTAATACCAGTACTCACAGGTCTTTACCCTGGGTCAACTTTCTGTAGGGAAGAATACTGTCATTTGCAGCCAGGCTCCTCTCTTCATAATGTATCAAAAGATGGTAAGTTCAATGTTTTACCTCATTTATATGCTTCTTATTTACAACCCCCTCCCTCAATTAAAATACAAGCTGCTTAAAGATAGAGATTTTTGTTGTTTTTAAAAATTGTTATATCCCGCCCCAGATGGGTGGCCTGGTTGGTTGGAATGTTGTCCCGTACCCCAAAAGGTTGTGGGTTCTATTCCCAGCAGGGCACATACCTAGATTGCAAATTCAATCCCCAGTCAGGGTACATATGGGAGACAAGCAACTGATGTTTCTCTCTTAACACTGGTGTTTCTCTTTCTCTCTCACTCTCTCTCAAATTAGTAAACAGATCCTAGGGTAAGGATTAAAAATAAATTGCTATATCCCCAGAGTCTAGGAAAGTATAAATGTGAGCAGGCCCTCAATATGTATCTGTTCAATTACTGGAGCACTTGATGTATCAGGAACTATGCTATTTCATATTTATAAACTCAATCCTTAAATTACCATGTGTGATATTATTTCCATTTTACCAATGAGGTGAGATAACGGAGAGGTTAGGTAACTTGTATGCAAACTAAGGTACAGGTAGGAGTCACACATAGGGTCTGTGTGACTCCATGGTTCACCTTAATCACTATGTTATACTGCCTTCTACAAAGAAACTGTATAGTGTTAGTCAGAAAAATAAGAAATCTACGTGCTAATGATATAACCTATGAGGTATAGTCTGTTTCACACTGTCCTACTAAGATGTAATTCCAATACTAAAAAGCCTGAAGGTTGTGTATATGGAAGGGGGCAGTGAATCCCTCCTACTGTGAGACATGGTTGGTAGAAAAACCTGCTGGTTATCTAATTCTGATTAACAAAGAATTATTATTTTCCCCAGGATTTTCTCTCTCCTCATGATTTCTTTGCTTGTCCTCCTGAGACATACAAGTAAAACAGAAAGCATGAAATATTAGAAAGTAAAGTATTCAGAGTTATGAATTTCAGTCTCAGCATTGATATTAACTGGCAGTGTGCTCTAGAATGAGCCGTATGAGGAGAGAATAGTATATCAGCAGTTATTTCCAAACTTCCAAATTTGCATTAGAAATGCAAACTTCCTTTCTTATAAAATACTTAAGACTTGCCTTACCCTTTAAAAAGTAATTAGATTACTAAATTAGAAATTTAATTTAGGAGTCCGTGAGTCCATGACTAAAAATCTCTGGCATCCGAAGGCAAATAGTAACTGGATCATTTGTAATTTAGGGTTATACCTCTGTATGACTAGCAATTATAGTGGAGCCAGCTTTTATAGGGAAAGACAGGATAGTGTAGTGGTAAGCAGTACAGGCTGTGGAACCTGAGAGACTTACATAAAGAAACTAATGCCAAGAAAGTTTATCTGTGATTAGAATAGTGACTGCTATCTCATAGAATTAAGGACAATCACACTCAAGACTTGATACAAAAACCTCAAGCACTATTAAACTGTAAAGCTAAGTAATTTTGAGCTATTTAAATATTGTAAATTTTACCTATAAGGAAGCAAAAACCAATTTGGGGGAGATCTGTTCTGGAAAAAAACATTTTAAAGAATTCTCTCCATTTTTTAAAATGGTAACTAGTTTGCTGACCTCGACTACAGAATGCTTTTTTCTATTTATTATAACAAGTGAAACAAACTTAAGAAGTATAATAAAGACAAAGCTACTGTATTTTGCCATGTATAATTTGTACCCATGTCTTGGGCCGAAGCTTTCAGGGAAAAAAAATCTTTCACTTTAATTTTTAAATCCATCCATTCATTCATTCATTCATTCATTTATATTTAGGAACAAAGCCGATTCTTGAATTCCAGGGTATAATTTTGCATATGGATATCATTATTGCTTTCTAGAGTTACACTTTTAACACTTACGCATAAATAAAAGAATTAAAAACATTTATATAGTTACAGAATTAGTACTACCAATGTTATAACGTGCATCCTTATTTTTCCCTCAAATATTTGGGCAAAAAGGTATACATTATACGTGGCAAAATACAATAATTCTTTCCTCCCATTATTATTTTTTTTATGCTTGCCTGAGGATACATTTATTGATTTCCTTCATGTGCCCTGACTGGGGACCGAACTCAAACCCTAGGTATGTGCCCTGACCAGGAATCGAATCCATGACCTTTCTGTGCATGGGATAATGCTCCAACTAACCAAGTCACACAGGCCAGGGTTCTTCCCATTATTTCTAATCCCACCTGCCCGGACAACCAATATTATACGTACAAATACTTATTTTAAGTTCATTTTTTTTTTCAAAATTACTACAATACTCAGAAGCTTACCTCCAGATATATTGATGGTGGATTATGCTCTCCACCAAATTTGTCCAATAGCGCCTCTATATGTTCCTGTGTCAACTTAATCATTTGTTTGATATTCCACACCTAAAAAATATTTTAAAATAATTTAAATAAAAATCATGTAGAATAGGAATTAGAAATACTTCAACATTTCCATTAAAATATTGCAGTAATTGCCAGCAATCCTTGAAATTTAGAGCTTAGAAAATTAGAGATCAGTTAGTATAGTGGTTTTTCGTTTTTATTAAACATTTTACAATTTTTCCACATTACTGATACAATATATTCTCAATTATATAAGATTCAAATAATACACAAATATTCAGAGTAAAAAGGAATCTCTTTTTACCTTCCCCAGATTCCCGGCCCCCCTGCCAAAAAGGTAAGTGCTGTTTATAGTTTCATACGTATCTTTCCATATCTTTTTACTTGAGTAAAAAACACAAATGCATATACAAGGTATGTTTGGAAGTCTAGCCATTGTTAATCTAATGAGAACAGTTTACATGACATTGCTGTAACCTGGCAGCCAAGGAGTGGACTGGAATGTGCACATGTGAACAATGATCACTTCACTGTACTAGTCAGTGGGAGTGGTAGACACTGTTGAGTGAGCGTGTGTACTGTGTGGCCGTCACATTCAAAATGACTGAGCAAGTAGAGCTATGAATCTGCATCAAATTTTGCATTACACTTAAACATTCCTCCCCAGAGACTATGTGGATGACTCAGAAGGCTTTCAGGGGCGATGCAGTGAGTACAGCACAAATAAAAATGTGACACAAATGGTTCAAAGATGGTTGAGAATCTGTGGAAAGTGATCCATATTCTGGAAGGCCTGCAACAAAACAGAACACCTGAGAATGTTGAACATGTATGGGCTGCAATCAACAAAGATGGGCAACTGACAGTGCGAGAACTAGAAGCTGATCTGGGGATTCCAAAAACTACTGTCTGAGATTTTGACGCAGGATCTTGGCATGAAATATGTCATGGCAAAATTCGTTCCACTGCTTCTCCTACCAGAGCAGAAGAAACATTGTGCTGCAGTTGCTAATGATGCTGCGAGAACTGTGTGAGGTCCCAAGGTACCCACTTTGAAGAGGACTGAGGCGCCATTGCCCTATGTATAATGTTTCTTGTATTTTCTTCAATAAATGTTTCTAGTTTTCACAGCACATGGCTGGATACTCTCTGGTCAGGCCTTGTTGTGTATGTAAAAAATACTTGCATACATACAAATATCCTATCTAAAAATACTTTAACACTTGCTTTTCTTTACTGAACAAAATGCCTCAGAACTCTTTCCATGTCAATATATGTGTATCTTATTCCTTTTTAAATGATTATATATACATCCTCTCAAGTGGTTATATTAAATACAGCCCTGACTGGGATGGCTCAGTAGGTTGGGTGTTGTCCTGCAGACCAAAATGCTGTCGATTCGATTCCCTGCCCGGGCACATGCCTGGGTTGCGGGCCAGATCCGTGGCTGGGGGATTGTGAGAGGAAACTGATTGATGCTTCTTTCCCCCTCTTTCTCCCTCCCTTCCTCTCTTTCTACAAATAAATAAATAAAATCTTTAAAAACGATTATTTAAGTAAGGATACATTCATTGCATAATATTGTTATGACACTGCTTCTTTCAGTATCTTCAAACTTCAATGGTAAACTAAGGTTAGGTGGACATAAATCACTTTAGTTATACAGTCCAAAGTACCTAACAAGAGGGAAAATCCCTTGAAAGAAAAGCAGGGGAAAATTAAGAGCAAGATATTATTTTATCAATGAAACACATTCTTGGCAAGGCTCTAAGGCTTAACCATTTATCCAGCCAGCCAGCCTAGGATTCTGAAGACTGGAAGTCTAGTGGTTGGAATACAAGTACATGTTACATGTTTATGTTATGATATATAAAAAGTCCAATTGTTTTTTATGAAAAATGAGTCCAATTTATTTGAGTGGTCTGAGAACCTGCTTTGCAAATTACACTATGTGGTAGATTACTCTGTTTTAAATCGAATGATCTACACTTTCAATTTTAATGTGACCAAAAATGTATTTAACAAAAATATAATACACACTAGAAATTATGGCCTTTAAAACTACTTAAAATTATAACAAAAAAATGAAAGAAAATTTAAAAATGTACAAGGGGGAATAAGTGAGCAAAGGAGTTTCAAGGCCCCTGGATTATTTAATAATTCCCTGACTAGAGGGCATTTAAATTATTCCATTTTTCTCAACTGCAAAATCTTTCGATGAGTATTTCTGAACTACCTTTTGGGGCAAAGGTCCAAGTTTCCCTTTTAGAGATCAAGGCAAAGGGTTCCTGGAGTGAAGGACATGCACATTTAAAAATTTAATAACTATGCCAAATGGTCTTCCACAAGAAAAAAAGTACCAAGTCATACTCCTACTCACAGGGTATGTTTCTACCTTTTTCCTTACAATCCCACCAAACTGGGTATTATCAAACTTCTAAACTTTTGCCAATCTGAGGGGAAAAGGTGATGCTTGTTGTCTAATTTGTATTTCCTAGAAAGTTGAGCATTTTTTCATGTTTATTTGCCATTTAACTTCCTTTTTGGAAAATGTCCTGTCCATATTCTTTTTCCCTTTCTTTTTTTTCTTGTTAATTTATAGATACCATTTATTTTGGATATTAATCCTTATTCTCCCACAAATGCCGCAGTCTTCCCTTGTTTTTCACTTTATATTTCTTCTGTCATATAAAGTCTTGCAACTTAATGTGTGGTCCATAGGCCAAATGCAGCATGATCTTCTGGAAATTTTTTAGAATCTAAACTCTAGATGGGGCAGAATCTCAGGCCCCATCTCAGACCTACTAAACTTTAACAAAATAATTCATATTACAGTTTAAGAAGCAATGATAAAATTTTCAAATTTTTGCTGCAGTCAGATATTGCAGTATTTTCCTTTATGACTCCTTGGCTATTTCTCATATCTGCAAGGAGTAGCAGATGTCTTTTTTCTCAAGCTATATTAATTACCCAAGTGATCTTACACAATCTTGTGGCTTTATATGTCAAATAAGGACTGATATAGCCAAATTTTAAATCCAGCTCTGCCACTAATATCTCTATTAAAACTTAGAGGCATCTCAAACTTAACATGTTCAAAAACTAACTTCTGATCTACACTTGAACACCCCGCTCCAATACTTGTTTTTCATAGTCTCTTCATCTAAGACAAATTCTTTCTATTGTAAGTTTACTGACCACCCAGGCAGAACTGCTTTACAGTCAAAATCTGATATATAAAATTGTTTTCCAGGTTCATTAACTACTTTGAGAGCAGAAACATGTTTTATTCATCTTTTGTCATCTTGGGTTCTCAGTCCTAACAGTTACTCAATTAATGCTGGAGCTAAGATTTAAGGGGTCTTCAGAATAGGATAAGAAGAAAAAAAAATTTCTTCTGTTCAATGATTCTTTCTCATCCAGTAAATAAGGGGCTCTAGTTCCCACAGCATTTTTTTTTTAAAGCTCCATAGATAAAACTCACGTACAATTAAGATAAAGAATCACTCCCCTAAGGGTAAGGAGAGAGGAAAGAAAAATCATTTAAAAAAAAAATTTGAGTTGGGGAAGGAGCATGGGAGAAATGTGGAGACTGAGCTGATTAGAATCAGATTTTCTTGCTGGGGAGTAGAAATTATTAAAAGAGGTTAGATAGGGCAGGGCCAAACGATGAATAATCCCAAAGTCAGATTTCTTATCTCCCCAAACAAAAGTAATTTTATATCCAAAGAATAAAGAAAAATCACTATGAGACCGAGTAGGAATTAAAGATGAGTCTTGGAAAGAAAATTCTTTCAGATTTCCCCAGAAAAGCAAGAGAAAGAACTTTGATTAATACTTGTAAAATAGAGATATGAAAAAATAAAATAGTAAAAAGTAGAATAAGACAGCTAACAGTACATATAGTTTTGGCCTTACAATGCCTTCTTTGGAAAAAAAAAAGAAAGAAAACAAAAATCTGTTAGAACAATCCTGAAAGGAAAGTGAAAGAATTAAAAACAAAAACAAAAAAATTAAAGAAATGTACCAAATTTCCTGTCCTTTATGATCTCTTCAATAGACTACAAAAATTAAAACCAAGCAATTAATTGATCATTTCTGGTGATGTTACAAATAGCAAAATTTCTTCTCCCAAAAGAGGTTAAGGCCCTGGCTGGTATGGCTCAGTGGACTGAGCACCCTACCTGTGAACTGAAAGGTCCCCGGTTCAATTCCTAGTCAGGGCACATGTCTGGGTTGCAGGCCTGGTCCCTGGTTGGGGGCCTGTGAGAGGCAGCCAATCAATGTTTCTCTCATACATTGATGTTTTCTCCCCCTTTCTCCCCCTTCCCTTCTCTCTAAAAAAATAAATAAAATCTTTAAAAAAAAAAAACGAACTTAAGAAAGAAATCATTAAAAAATTTTTAAAGCCCAGCTTAGGAGGTGCCTTTGTTAAAATATAAATGGAGAAAAACTGTTATGGAAGAAACTGCAGGGCAGTAATGGTACATAAAGCTATAGCCATTGGCTACCCTCCTCCGAACAAAAAGGTATCAGGTCGATATTATGTGATTGGTTTCTATCAAATCTGGTAAGAACATATATTATCAATTATTAATAGGTGATTATATATTAAAAGTCTTCCAAATCCATTTTATGAAGCTAGCAAAATCTAGGTGCCAAACTTTACAAAGATAATACAAAAAAGAACCCCATGAAATAATCCAATCTGTAAGGACAAACTCTTAAATACAATTTGTGCTATATATATTTTAATGCAAGAATAGCCATTCATCAGGAATCAAGTCAAATAATACATAATAGATCAAAGAAGGAAATTACAAGAGTAAACTACAAATGCAAAAGAAACCCCAAAATGATTATTACCCAAAGTAATAATAATAACAATAATAATAGTAAAAGAGACATGGTCTTAACTTTAAGAAAATTGTTAACAAGATCATGTTACTAAAAGCAAGAGGGCTAGAGCACCAGTCCTTCAGTGGGAAAAAAAAATCTGAAAATTCCTGTAAAATAGAAAACAAAATCATCACCTGGAC